TTAGGGTCTCTGTCTATACACCTTATAAGACAATTTAGGTGATGGCATGTTGTTTTTCTGCTATTGAACTGTTTTCTAATAATGTTGTGTTAAATAAAGTGAAGGAAGGAGAGAAATAACGTTTCCCTAGCAGTTTTTAAAAATTTCCCCATGTAATCCGATTAATCGTGTCGAGACCCCATCCGATTAATCGATTATCCAAATAATCGTTTGTTGCAGCCCTAGTCTGCATTTAAGGGACGCTGTGCAACTCTTATACATTTTTAAATCACCTTTAAGCCACTATGTGCTAAAATGACCCTTTCCAGGGTTAATGGAAGGCCATCCAGCCCGTATCGCCCCCTGTGGCCAGAATATTCCACTTGCAGCTTCACAGTTGCCGGTCCGGTCTGTTGAGATGACATACCTGCCGCTGCAGTCTGGTTCTGGCACATTTTCTACATGGTTTAGATCATGAACACAACTGATTTGTTTATTTAGTGATGAACCACTCCTGCAGACACTAAGGAAGGCTGGGAGACATTTCAGCTGTTAGATTAAGGTTAATGTTTTGCTTTCAGTTCTACAAACAGACACTAGGGGGTTCTAAAAGCAAGCCAAATCAGCCTAGTTACCCTTTAAGCAACAACTTAGACCCTACAGAAATTGTTTTGTACGTGTGTCAGTGATTTTTTATGCTAGATGTGCAGATTTACAGAGAGCAGAAAGGACAAGCTGACAAATGTCTGAATCTAACACTGGGAGTGGGTCACTGATGATTTAAAGTCAGAAACTTTATTTGGAGACAAAAACAATCAGAACATCTCTTCTGACTCCATTAATCAGACCGATAAATGACTGAACAAATCCATCCAGTAACCAGATCTTCTGTTTGTTTTGTGCCTTTACAACATGATGGGAGCAGCATTCCTGACTGGGCTGAATTATAAATATCCTGCTGACTCTGTTGTTCCGACTAATGTTTCACACCCACATGCACTTTGTAACAGAATCGCTTTGCTTCATATGGAAAATCTTTCCTAAGGAAGCATCTCAGGCAACAAAATAAAACCCTCTTCTGTTAGGTGAAGCCAAACTTTTACTGTACAGAAATGTTTCAGTAAACAAGGATGGCAACCATAAAACAAACTAATCTACTCACTTCTGACCTTCTTGGTGCTGGTTTAGACCCTGTTTTACCTTCATAGCTACACCAATTCGTCATATCATTAATTAACCAACGTGTTGGAAACATTCCTGTCTTTAGTTCTTTTAGTTTTACGTAGCAAATAAATGACGAAAGAGAACAAGAAACGGACTTTGAAGATTTTCTTTTGAAGGTTAATCTGCTTCATTTATTATTTTTTTTATTTTTTTGCTTTCCCTTCTTGTTAGATAAAATCGTTCTTTCTCAGCTTGAGAAGGTGAAGATTTTTTTGAATTTGCTATTTTTCTTCATTTTGTAATGATTTAGATTACATGCTATTTCATAAGCCATAAGGCGTATGATTCCATAGGAAATATGAAATCCACCTTACGGATCTGTGAGGTTATTTTAAACCAGAAGATTGGAACTTTTTAATGCAGGGATTAGATAACAGCTTCGTATTCACGCAGGGACAACAGAAGAGAGAGAGTCAAGTATAAAAGTTTAAAAATTTATTACTAACAAATTAAACTAGACTAACTTTAACTCTAAATGTATGGCGTAACTAAGGAGGATGAGATGGTGAATGGGGTGAGGTGTAATGTTGCTCAGAACAAGCAAATCCAAAGAAGCGATTAGTTCTGATGGGAACTGAAGATGATGTCTTCGCGTTAAGCTTTGATTAGGAGATTCATAAACACATTCGACGCCATTTGTTGGTCTACATACCCTGAGCGGAAGTCCCCGTTAGATCAGGAATGTCGAGGTCCAGCTTGACCTTTTCTGGAACCGAAGCCGGTAGGAAAAGCAGCGGTTGCCGACCAGACCAGTCTGTGAGATACTTCCGGGTCACGACAATTTTGTTGGCGTCTAGCGAGAACCACCTGGGTTGAGATGGTTCAGCTTTTATTCTGAAAGGAACCGTTGCAGCGGTTGTTACAGCAACAGATTTTATCCAGCTTGTCATTGGTACTTTTCGCTGAAGAGGAAATTTACGGATTGGCCACTCCGACAACTTCTCTAGAACGCTTTGAACTGGAGTTTAAGATGGCGTGGGCAGTTTTATACTTCGGATGTTTTGGTTTATGGTCGAATGAAAAGTTGACAAATTTACCAAACACCACCAAAAACACACCTCCGTCAGATCTGTCAGATTCTGATTGGATCAGTGAAAGTAATGTGTCATGTCTTTTAACGCTACGTGAGATCAGTCCTACTGGAACAATTAAAGTCATATTACTTTTATATTCTATAGCAGTGGTTCCCAAACTTATTCTCTCTCTCTCTCTCTCTCTCTCTCTCTCTCTCTCTCTCTCTCTCTCTCTCTCTCTCTCTCTCTCTCTCTCTCTATCTATCAGATGTCAAGCTAAACAGACTGGGTTAAAAAAATTCCCCATCACTTTCATTTTTTAAATAGTAATTAATAAACATTCGATACCATTACAATTTCCTTTGATTTCATTTTAAATGAATATTTAGAGTGTCCAGGTAGCACATAAACAATGCAATTTAACGGTTTTCTTAAAGTAGGAACGTTTAACCTGTGCGACCAGAGCACTCTCCTTCCTTCTGCTCTGCGTAAACCTGAGCTGATCACCTACTTGTGCGTAATCAAATGTCAATAGGGGACAAGATATAGCCATGATGTTCACTTTTACCTTAGACCGACTTATTGCTGTTTTATGGTGTGGCTGAATCTGCGATCCACTGCCACGCTGACTGGAATAACAAATGCTGCAGTAACATGAGATGTGGTCAGGTTCATGAGGAGTCACTGGCTGGAGCGGACCCGACTCATCCCAGAAGCTAATATCTTAATTTGACCTTGAATGAAAAATAACCTCTCAAAAGTTTTTATCGTGGTGGAGGCAGCGTTCATTTCTGCCTTCAGTCTGACGACGCGCCGGAGTTAAAGCAGCGTGTGCGCTTATTGAATCTGTGTGTGTATGTGTGTGCGTGCGCACGCGCGCGCGGCACAGCCACTCAAGTCACCGCGTCTCGCGCTATTTAAACCAATGTTGTAAAATAACTTCTGCCCAGCCCAGATGTGCTCACTTGTGCACCCGTGAGCCGTGGTTCAGCCGGAACGCGTCTGACCTCTGACAGACGCACTCTGAACTTCAGATCTTCAGCGCGCTGTCAATAGCCTGAATGGGAATAATTTCTTGTTATTTTGTTACATCCACAATGTTCTGTGTGTGAGGTTTACAATGTCAGAACACCTGCATGAGACAGGTGTTAATTACAATCTGCCAGAATGACTCGCCACCTTCAGATTTCTCCAACACCGTTAAAAATGATCAAATACGGAACATATCAGCGTGCGCAGGTCAGAGTGCTGAAGCTCGGCGCATTATTATTATTATGAAGTTAGGGCACATGCGGAGGACACGCATGCGCGCGACGGAACATATCGGCGTGCGCAGGCCAGAGTGCTGAAGCTCGGCGCATTATTGTTATTATGAAGCTAGGGCACATGTGGAGGACACGCGCGCAAAAATATACTTGTTTTCAATTACATTTATTGGGCCCACTTACTTTTTCTTTGGCCCACCCACAAATGAGTTTCTGGCTACGCTAATGGTGACATATGACAGACTTCTCTGAGCTTCGCAGCCATTACACTTTTCACCTCGCGCACTCCCTAGCGGCAGCTCGCGCACCCCTGGGGGTGCGCGCACCACACTTTGGGAATCCCTGTTCTATAGGATTATAATAAAGTAATTAATATTTTGATTTCACAGATTGGTCACATCTAATTTATTGACTAACACTTGGTAGGATTAGCTTTATTAAAATAGAGTTCTTTGATTAATTAAAAGAAAAGAGTCCATTCTTCATTCTTCTGTTGAGCTGAAAAGAAGCAGGTTAGAAGCAAATGCATGAGACCTTGAGGCCATATCTCATGCAGACTAGTTCTGTGCAGAGGAGGGGGGGAACAGTCATTTCATTCCATTACAATTTCTTTACATTCCAGTTTCAATGTGCAAATGAGGTGAAACTTTATGGACAAATAAAGGCTGACTGCTGAAGGCCTTTAAATTTTATACCCTGATAACTCCTCAGTATACCATAAAGGATATTTTTTATTGATCTGGGCTTCCATGCTCAGAATGGTTTGTGCCAAGTGGACCACGGGTTTCATTCAAACCACCAGTGACATTTAATCGTTGCGATGAACACGAGGCTTTGGGTGTTTCATCAGTAGATCCAGTTAGATGGGATAGGGGACTTCTGGTTCCAAACCTGCTCAGAGATTTGCAAAAGAGGAAAAGGTGATTTTCCCTGTGGGGATAAATAAGAATGATTCCCTGTAAGGTGTGCAGCCTGCTGTTAATGACCCTGGACCAAAAAAAAAATAAGCACAATCAGGAGGAGAGAAAACAAAAGAAACTGCCAGCAGCGGAGGTTGTGCTTCAGGATGGATCCCAGCCAGAAAGGATAGAGTGGGCTTTTCACTTAGTGTTTTTTCTCATTACCTTCCTATGGTGCAAAGCTCTTAAATGTGTGTTTATGGCACACAGACTCCACCCAGCAAGGCCTGACCATGTGGAGATGTGCTGTTGGTTATGCACCCAGCTGAGCGTGTACTCATGTTTGCTTTGGTTTGAGCAAAAACTGAGAACTTTTGAAGTTTAGTATATTTTTTTCTCTGAGCTACTTTTTCCTAATCCTTTAAGATGGCTCTGAAACTTCAGGTGTGCACCAGAAAACACGCACAGCGTGGCGGTAATCGATCCCATTCAGGCTCTTAGAGAAGGACGGCGAAGCATTTGGATTTTTGAGAAGTGGGATCAGCTTTCTTTGAAGTTTTCTCCCTTCCCAGCTGTTGTTCCATTTCTTTCATTCTTTTCCTGTTTGTGCCTTTCTTCAGAGCTCTATTCCTGGGTTTGTCCAACAACCCTCACATCTCTGATTTACACCTGGACATCAGCAGCTGTGAGGTACGCCCTTGCCTGTCCACTCATCGGCTTTTCAGAATAACTTTTACAAATATCCCATCTTGCTCCTCTCCTCTTTGTCTCTTCCTACCACAGCTCAGGTCCGCCGGTGCCGCCGTGATACAGGAGCTGTTTCCTCGGGTTTCCTGCGTCGGGACTTTAGACATCTCTGATAATGGTGAGAATGAAAAAAAAATCTCGTTACATTTTCATCACACTCAGCTTTATATGAGCAGCAGGAAGATCAGATCAGATTGCAAAGACATCATAGAGGATTATATAGCACAAATGTTATGATGGCAGCCAGGACAACGGAATAAGACATAATAAAATAAGAAACTAAGACTTGAGCAATATGAGGTGAACTTGATCATGTAATGGTCAAATAGGCATCTAGTTACCATGGTTACACTCATAGGGTAGCCACATAGTTGCATAAAGATGAATGGAAGTTTTCCCTTTGAGTGTCATTTTGGGGCTAAGGCGTTTGACCCATGACATGCAGAATCACAAGCTGAGACTAAAATTAGGAAATAATATTTATTAAGGAAACAATTATGAACTAAAGGAGCACCCAGACGGGGTGACAGGATCCTGGCTCTGGGGAGGGTCTGGAAACAGAGGCAGGAGTTAACAAAGGAGGCCAGGGGGGACAAAGGCTGTTTTGGATTTTGGGAGAAGTGGAGGGCTTACGATGCAGCAGAGATGGGGAGGCAGAAGGGAAGGATTGTCAGGTTTGAGCGTAGAGAGAAGTCCTGGAGCACTGAGCTGATGATCGGTGGGAGAAGGGGGTAGAGCAGGTCAGCCAGGAGTGAGACGTGGAAGGAACAGAGGATCTGGAGGTTATGGCGGGTGACTGAGATGGATGCAGAATCCTGGAAGCAGGAACAGTATGGGAACTAAAGAACAGGATCAAAAGAGCAAGCGGTTAGCTGTACCAAAAAAATAACGTCATCTTAAAACACTTCTCCTATAGGACTAGGGTTTCTCAGAGTCTAGTGGATCCAACAAGGCAATACTGTGTGTGTAGTGCAATCAACTGGCATTGAGCAGTCGGCTTACTCCTCCTTATAAGCAGGCTGAACTGCTGCAGCTGGTCCCACTCACGAGTACCTCCCACCTGGAAACAATCCTGAGGTAAATAGCAGCAGGATCTCACCTCAGACCATTGAGATAATCTGAAATGGAAGTTACTTGTCTTTATTATTTCAGTTTGGGTCATAAATTCTGTACCAAAATACTTCTGGATTAGAGATGATATTTATTACATGTTTGGGGAATTGAAATAGTTAAAGACCAAGTTCACTGAAAATAGGGCTAGGACGATAATCAATAAATAAATTAATCATACGATAGATGAAAATGAACCCAATTATTTTCCAGCCTCAATAAATCGAGGTTAAGAAATGCACAACTCTTTATTATTACTATTATTATTATTATTACTATTATTGTTTATTACCATTATTGAAGTGCAGTTTTGGTTATTGACACTGGATAGGCTATTGTATTTATTTTTTGGAGAAACAGAGTCTATTTTATTGTTTTTGGTGCAACATTTTCTAACAGAGACTAAGACTCCTTTTTTATTTTAATTTTTTTTTGTTGGTTTTATTTATTTATTTAGAAGTTCTGGACATTCCAATGTTGAATCAAGGTTTAATGTTGCATTTTAAAGGGTGTACTTGCATTATTGTGATATTTGCATTATTGTGATATTTTAACATTACATAAATGGTTATTTTGGTCTCGATAATGTCGACAATAATAGCATTTATCGTCAATAATTGTTGGACAATATAATGTCCAGCATAATTTGTTATTGTCCTAGGCCTACAGTAAGTGAAATATATATATATATTTTTTACCTATTTTATTTTTTAACATGATTAGTCATTCTAAGTTTAACATTCAGGCTGAAAATAGTCTTCTACTCCTTATTCCTCTATTAGCCACCACAATAAAATAGATGGGGAAACGCTTGAATTAGAAAAGCCAACCAGATCTACGTCACAATGTGTCACATGCACGGGAGAAATGAGGTTGAGGATCCAAGTTGCAGGAGAAACAAGGCAGGCAGGCAAGAATGAGCACAGAAATGGGGGTTTAATGAAGAGCACATGGGACACTGAAACACACGTTTAAATACACGAGGAGCTGGGATCTACAGTGATTGGGAGACGAGAGGCAGGTGGGAGCAATCAGGAGAGACACAGGACTGAACAGAATGGGGAGACAGGACATGTGACAGTACGCCGTATGGTTAGTTCTCGTTTTCTTAATGAGAGCACAGCTAGAAATTTTTCTGCTACTTTTGATCCACCCTGTTCTTCTGATAACGACCCAGATTCCTTAACTTCTCAGTTTAACGAGCACTGCCTCTCCATTCTGGACAACATCTGTCCTGTCAGAACCAGATCAGTTCCTGCAGTGAACCCTACTCCCTGGTTTAATGACAGCCTTCGCAGCCTAAAGCGCCAATGCAGAAAAATTGAGCGTTTGTGGAAGAAAACCCGTCTCCACGTCCATCTGCTGCACCTAAAGGATCTTCTGACATCCTTTAACTCTGCAGTCAGAGACGCTAGGGTTTCCTATTTCTCCAACCTGGTGTCCCAGAGGAAAGGGAACAGGTGCTGTTTAACACCATCAGCAGCATCGTCTCTCCTGCCTCTCCTACAGCCTCCATCCACTCTGTTACAGACTGTGAGAACTTTCTGTCTTTCTTTGTGGACAAAGTCAATAAGGTTAGATCTAGCATCTCTCCTTCAGCCTTATCGCTGCCTCTCCCGACTCCAACCAGGCCCATCATCCTAGATAGCTTTGCTCCTGTTTCTTTGCCTGAGTTAACCAAACTAGTTAACTCTATGAAGACCTCTGCATGCCCCCTCCACATCTTACCCTCATCTTTGTTTAAAAGTGCTTTTCAGTCCATCGGTCCCAGCGTGCTCTCCATTATTAATGCTTCTCTGGTTTCTGGTCAGGTCCCTGCTTACTTTAAAAATGCTGTAATCCACCTGCTTCATAAAAAAATGAGTCTCGACCCCTCCCTCCATAGCAGCTTCAGACCCATCTCTAAACTTCCGTTCATCTCCAAGATCTTGGAAAACGTTGTGGCTAAACAACTCACAGCTGCTCTTGATGAACATAACATCTATGATAGCTTCCAGTCAGGTTTTCATAGAGCTCATTCTACTGAAACAGCTCTTCTTAGGGTCTCTAATGATCTTCTGACTCACAGTGATGCAGGGGACTGTTCTGTTCTGGTCCTGCTGGACCTGACTGCAGCCTTTGACACTGTTGACCATCACCTGCTACTGGAGAGGCTGAGAGACTGGGTAGGCCTATCAGGATCTGCTCTGGAGTGGTTCCAGGGGACTGTTCTGTTCTGGTCCCTAGAGGCGTGTCCGCTGACTTGGCTGGAGGCGGGACCACTGGAACCAGATTCTCTGGAGGCGAGTCCGCTGACTTGGCTGGAGGCAGAGCCACTGCAGGCAAGGCAGCTGACTTGACAAGAGGCGAAGCCGCTGTAGACGGGGCCGCTAACTTGACTGGAGGCGGAGCCGCTGCAGGCATGGCCTCTTGGAGAGGCTGGACTGGGAGCGGAGCCTCTTGGACAGGTTGCTGGAAGACCAGGGTGGTTAGGGTCTCCACTTGGAACTCCTGGAGGCTGAGTATTTGACGGAGGTGGACCAGCTCAGCTTGGAGGCCAGCGAGCTCTGTTGGATGGGCTATAGGCTTGGTGCCTTGACCTGGAGATAAGGGAGGTGCTGACTGGACCGGAGACAGAGGGTCCAAGCTGGTGTGCAGATCAGGGGCCTCTGAAATGGGTGGCACCACTCTGCTCCCTTGACCTCGCCGTCTGGTCCCTCTCGTGGTCCCCCTGGAATGGTAGGAGACCTCTGGAGGGGTCTCCTCCGGCCGGGTGCCCCGCCCATGAGACATCCTCGAACCCCCCTGAGGAAATTGGCCGCTAGCCAGCCCTTTACGTCTGCCAGACATGCCGCAAGATGAGAGTCCACATTTCCATTTTTTAGTGCCACGTATATTTGACAATTATCAGCATAGATGTGATAATTAAGACTGTGCCGATTTAGGATTTTGCCCAGTGGTAGGAGTTATATAAAGAAAAGAAGAGGAGAACAGAGCCCTGCGGTACACCCCAAGGCAGAGGGAGAGAGGAGGAGGAACAATCGCCCATCTGAACAGTAAAAGATCTGTTGGATAAATAGGAATGAAACCGTTCAAGTGCAACCCCCTTTACCCCAACCCAAGACTCAAGACGGTCCAGTGGAATATGGTGGTCCACAGTATCAAAAGCTGCTGAAAGGTCTAGCAAGAGCAGTAATACCTTAGACCCAGAATCTGATGCCACCAGGATATCATTCAGCACCTAATCAGGGCTGATTCAGTACTGTGGTGTGGTCTGAAAGCAGACTGAAACACATCAAACAATGAGTTACTGTCCATGTGAGCAAAGATTTCCATGCAAACTATTTTCTCCAAAACCTTTGAAAGCAATGGGACTTTTGAGATGGGCCGGAAAATATCGTAAATGGAGTGATCCAAACTTGGTTTCTTCAATATCAGCGGTATAACTGCATTTTTAAAAACCATAGGAAAAACTCCAGTACTGAGACTAGTATCAAACACGTTCAATAGAGCTGGGCTCAGTGTAAACACTGAATCGTGTATCAATCTGGGCAGGAGGTAGTCCACCGCAGAGCCAGCTGGCTTCATGGAGCTGGTTAACTTCACCAAGACAGGAAGCTGAACTGGAGTAAAGTCCAAGAAATTAGGTGGACTTGGTGGATCTACATGGACAATTTCTCCTAGATGCTGGAGGCTGAGTCTGATATCACAGATCTTATTTAAAAAAAAAAAAGTTCTGTAAGTCAGTACATAACTCAGCATTGGGAGTAAAGCCAACAGACTCAGTTAAAGATAGTACAGAATTAATTGTGCTATACAGCTTCGACTGGTCTCCATGGTGTTGTGAGATGATGTTAGAAAATTAGGTGTTTTGAGCAGATCTTACAGCTTTCTGGTAGCAGAAAAGGGCGTCAACCAGGAGTTGTCGAGAGGACAAGAGTCTGTCCTTTTTTCGTCAGCATGGATCGCGGTGAGCCCGCGATGCAGCTCCGGAGCTGGAGGTGACGTTGGAGCCCAGGTTCCTTCCCAGCGCCATGGGCCAACTCCGGGGAAGCACACAGCCAGTCTGGTGCCCACGTAGCAGGAGTGGTCTGGCTGCGTCTCCCAGTCCAACCTCCCATCTGGCTCTGGGAGGGTGGAGAGGATTGCCCAGGTTCGGCGGCGGCGTCTGCGGCGAAGCGGCGCTGGAGGAGGGGAGGCTGGCCAGTGGCTCGGGGTGAGCCACTGCAGTAGGTACTCCCAGGGGAGAGTTTCCCCACTGGATCCTTCGCATGGTCTGTCCATTCTGTCACATGCGCGGGAGAGTTGAGGTTGAGGATCCAAGTTGCGGGAGAAACAAGGCAGGCAGGCAAGAATGAGCACAGAAAAGGGGTTTTAATGAAGAGCACACGGGACACTGAACAAATGGACAGATCAGGGACACAGAACTGGGAGGGTTTAAATACACGAGGAGCTGGGATCTACAGTGACTGGGAGATGAGAGGCAGGTGGGAGCAATCAGGAGAGACACAGGACTGAACAGAATGGGGAGACAGGACAGGTTGTGACACACTGAAAGTTAGCATTCATAGACAGACCATGGTTGGTTTAGCATCCAGGAAACAGCAGAGCACATCTCGGCTGGTAAACGCTCACCGTTAGCATTATCGACTCCACCACACAGCAGAACACCTTCAGGCTTGTGTTATTTGTGGAGATAAAGCATCAACGTTGCAAAGCAAACAAAGTCAGCGGTTTCCCAGTTAGCCAGTAAGGGGCGAGATGTCCAAATATCAGCAAATGAGACTCCAAACCCTGTCATAATCTGCTCGCCTCTGCTCTGGCTCACTTCTAGTTCCTAGATCAGGAGTACCTGAGCTTTTAACCCACACAGGATTAAAAGCTCAGGTACTCCTCAGGACATGTATTTATACTAGAGGCCGCTGCAAAAGGGTTAAAAAGGAAGTGAACTTGGTCTTTAACCAATACCGGAGCAAACATGCTGTTTTTTGTTGACCTACTTTTTTTCTTTGTAAGACAGTTTCAAATAAAAAAAAATAGGAAAAGCTAAAATAAGATTATAACCGTTCTTGTTGCTGTCAGTTTGAGAAACTCTGTTTGAGATTTCACTCAGAAAAACTGACTTACAGTTAAAACTTGGCTTTTCATATAGTCTCAAACAAAATAACCACGTTGACCTTGACTCTCAGTAAAAATCTCCTGCTCCAAATTCTTTTGTAAGTTTGTATAGCTCAGCAACCATCTTTAGTATTACATTTGTCATCTTTTGTTGGAATCGTGCTGTCCATTTTTGTTAGCTCTTTATTCCAACCAAAAAGCCATCGGCTGTACGACGGGAGTAAGAGAGTTTTGTCCAACATTAAAACATTTCATATCACAAATTCTAAAATAAAAGTGATTTTTTTTAAATTTGCTTTCTGGGGGGAATTCAGCTTGCTTAATAATTTCTGCTAACTATTATTCAGCCAATCAGATAATTACTAACACAATTTTTTCTTGTTTTCTTGTTTCTTGTTGCCTTAAAATCACTCATGAGCCATCAGCTCATGAGTGATTTTAAGGCAACATGCAGGCGCAGGAAGTCATGATAACATAATCCTGTCTCAGATCACTGAAAAACCCACTTAGGCTTCATTATCCACTGATTTATTTTTTGTCTGAATGAGGCTTTTTTGGATTCAGAAATCTTTTGCCATGGTTACCACTTCCTTTTAGCAGCATTTTCTATTTTTTTCTGCTTTTCGAGAAGGTGAGTGGGCGTGAGTGGGGGGTTAATTGGGAATACTTTGGAATTTCAGTGGGAGGTGAAAAATTCTCTCTTCAAAAAGGGACCACGAGAGAGGAAAAAAGAGAGTCAGGGATGTTTCACACCTGGCAGATGAAATGATGAGTCACTGCTGCAGCTGGTACACAGCCCAGAAACTGTCGGTTTTATGTTTAAAAATATTATGTTTTATGTTCACTATATCTATTATCACTTCTCTTCCTGTTAAAGACTCAAAGTTTAATTTTTTTCTCATATTTTATGGGCACTAATAACGGTTTAAATAAAGACTTACTTGGAAGCAGGATTTTATTGAGCTCAGTTTTGCTGACGTTGCACTTGTTCTCCATTAATGTGTTTTCATGTCTGCTTCAGGTTTAGATGCTGACTTGTTGGCCGTCATCCCAGCGCTCTCCCGACACCCCTCCCTCAAACACCTGATGTTGGGTAAAAACTTCAACATCAAGGGCAGGTACGGACCACTCGGGGATGTGGCGATGCAGATGGTTTTGACAGTTGATGCAGATGATGAATGTTTTCCTCTCTATTTTGCCTCCTCAGGGGGCTGGAGGAAATTCTGCAGAAACTAGTACATTTGGTGCAAGAAGAAGAGTGTGTGAGTTTGATTATGTAACACATTGTATACACACACAGACACACACATATTCTCGGTGGTGTAATGCACAGATGCAAGCCCACGCACGCCTCACAGATATGTCGCCTCATGAATGTTTTGTTCACTCAAACACACACTATTCACCATGTAGAATTCCTGTCCTCATTTGGGTCTGGTTAAGCTAAATTTCCCACCTGCCACAACAACAGGATGCATACAACTCATGTTGTCTGTGGGCATGACAAATGATTCATTTGGGTTTAGTTTATTTGAGAGACTCCAGACGCCATCTTTCCTTTTCCTCTTCCCAGCAAATTCAGCCTGACAAGTCACTTTCTCAATTTACCACTGGCAATAAGTCACAGTGATGCTCTTTCACCAACTAGACACTGAAGAGTGTATGCCTGCACATTAACACAGGCTGTAAGTGTGCGTGCACGTTAACACAGACTGCTAGTGCATGCACGCTAATGCAGGCTGTAAGTGTGCATTGCACGAAACACAGGCTCCTTGTGTACATGCTAACAAGTGAGGCTAGTGTGCATGCTAACAAGTGAGGCTAGTGTGCATGCTAGCAAGTGAGGCTAGTGTGCATGTGTGCATGCTAACACAGTTGCCTTGTGTACATGCTAACAAGTGAGGCTAGTGTGCATGCATGCATGCTAACACAGGAGCCTTGTGTGCATGCATGGTAACACAGGCTGCTAGTGTGCAAGCATGCACGCTAACACAGGAGCCTGAGTGTGCATTCAAGCTGCCAGTGTGCAAGCAAGAACAATAACACAGAAGTCTTGTGTGCATGCTTGCTGTCGTAAGTTCACCAGTATGATAATGATGAAGCGGTATATTCAGTTAACGTGGTTTTATTAACCAGCAGAACAGCAGATAACTTACATGCATGGACTCACTACCAGATGCCGACTCTATCACTCAACACATACACAGACCTACCCGGATGTACGGCAAGCGGATTAGGACAAAATACTAAACAAACAGCAGGTTGTCTACATCCCCCTTCTTTAGTACATCCCTAACCGGATATAAAGTTTATTGCATGCTAAACAACAATAATCACAGCATTAAAAGGTGACATCCACTGATCCTTAGGACATTTAAATTTGCAACCAGATGGAAGAACTAAACATGACAAAATATCATTTTGCTGTATAAAGTTAAAAATGATTACAACTGAAAATGACCTCAACCAGAATTTTAACTTGAAACGTGGACATCAGTTACTGTTGGATCGAACATCAAACCTGAACAAGTTCTGTGTTTTAACTAGTTCTCGATTAATCCCTATATCTTGGATTTGGTTTGCATACATGACCCAAGCGTGTCCTGTAAACACCATCACTCCTGGAAGGTCCTGGAGAATGCTAAACATCAGAAGAGCTCTCAACACGGGTGCTGTCTTTAAACGGTTCTACATCATTGTTTTCACCCCCACCCTGCAGTCCATCATAATGATGATGATCAGTGCCTTTCTGAGTAGTAACAGGCACAGACACAGGCAATATGTGTCTGCGATTTCTCCTGTAAATGTTCCCATCTGACTGTACCAGGTAGGATCTAGGTTCTTTACAAAGTTCCTTCACCACACCTGTGCGGTCATAACCCTGTGGGGTCTGTAACCTCACTATTTGTCCTTCTTCAAGAGGTGGAAGTGGTCGGCTGGATCTGTCGTAACAGACCTTCTGAGTCAGTCTCTTGTCGAGTAGCTGGGCTTTCACTTTCTCAGATCCACGGTGTTGTGGTTCGAGCAGTTTGGTCGTGATTGGGAGCGTAGTTCGAGTCTGCCTGGATAGAAGTCGTTCTGCAGGTGAACCCAGGTTCACATCACGTGGAACATTCCTGAGATTCAGCAGGTTGAGAAATACGTCAGTGCCATCTCTGTGAGATTTCTCCATCAGTTGTTTAGCACTGCGCACTGCTCTCTCAGCAAGCCCATTGGATTGAGGATACTCTGGACTGCTGGTGACATGTCGAAAGTCCCACTGTGAAGCGAAGTCTTTGAAACCCTGGCTTGTAAACTGCCTTCCATTGTCTGAGATCAGAGTGTGTGGAGCACCATGAACTGAGAAGTGTCTTTTCAGCTTTTTGATGACTGTCGCTGATGTCAAATCCTTTAGCAGGTCAATCTCAAACCAGCCCGAGCATGAGTCTACTTCTACTAAATAGTGCTGACAGTGCCACTCAAATAAATCTGTAGCCACAGTTGACCAAGGGAGATCTGGAACTTCATGCAGATGAAGGGGCTCTTTTTGTTGATGAGGTTTAGTGCTGTTGCACACCGAGCAAGAAGTAACTGCTTGTTCAATATCTCTTGACATGAACGGCCAGAAAACGATCCCCCGCGCTCGCCGCTTGGTAGCTTCCACGCCGGGATGTCCTCTGTGCATGATGGTGATGTAGTCTCCTTGCAGCGATTTTGGGATCACGGCTTTGGAACCTTTAAGAATGATGCCATCATCCACAGTCAGCTCATCCCTGAAAGAAAATACGGTATGGATGAACCGCCGTGGGAAGGTTGTGGAGTCGTAGTGGCCAACCATGTTTGATGAACGAGCCGAGCACTTGCAATGTCTCATCCTCGGCCGTGTGTCCTTTAAGTTCCTCCAGGCAAGAAGAAGAGATGCAGCTCACCGTCATGACATCAAAGTTGTCCTCTTCCTCAGACTGCTGGAAAGTGGTTCTGCTGGGAGCACGAGACAGCGTATCAGCCAGACACATTTGTTTTCCACATTTAGTTATGTTGTCTTTTTGGAGCCTTAACAACATCCTCTGCAATCTGGCTGGTGCGGCGTGAATAGGTTTCCTTAGTATGGTGACTAGTGGCTGATGGTCTGTTTCTACAACTACAGACTTGCCATAAATGTAGTCATGAAACTTCGTACATGCGAAAACGACAGCCAATAGCTCTTTTTCTACCTGAGCATATCTGGTTTCAGTGTCTGTCAGAGTACATGAAGCATACGCTACAGGTTGCCCTTCCTGTAAGCAAGCTGCACCAAGGCCATACTGTGATGCATCGCATGTTAGTGTCACAGGTTTGCTGACATCATAATATGACAGAACAGGTGGATTCGACATGTGCTCTCTAAGTGCGTCGAATGCAGCCTGATGCTGTGTGTCCCACATCCACTCACTGTCCTTGTGTGTGAGCTGTCGCAGAGGAGCTGACAGATGGCTGAAGTTTGGAATGAACTTTCCAAGATAATGGACAATCCCCAGGAACCTCTGCAGGGCTTGGACATCCGTTGGAACTGGCATTTCTTTGATTGCGGCTGTTTTGGAAGGGTCAGCTTTAAGTCCCTCGCTTTTGAAAATGTGTCCGACATAACTGACCTGATTCAGCCAGAATTTGCACTTTAACGGGTTTAGTCGCAGGTTTACTTCTCTGGCACGATCAAGGACTTTTCTCAGGTTGTCGTCATGTTCTTTCACGGTTCTTCCGCCGATGAGTATATCATCAACAATGATGGCACATGGATACCCAGCGAATATCTGCTCCATGGCTCGCTGAAACACCTCGCTGGCAGCATTAAGACCAAAAGGCATCCTGAGAAACCTGTAACGACCAAAACAAGTGCTGAAGGTGGTCAGCATGGATGATTTCTGATCCAATGACACCTGCCAAAAAGAGTTCTTAGCATCCAACACAGAGAACACGGTGGCATTTGACATTATTGCAGCCACTTCTTCTGCTGTGCGCATTGGATGATGTGGTCTTTTCAGTGCTGTGTTTAAGTCTCGAGGATTTATGCATATCCTTATTTCATCTTTGCCTTTCTTGTTGGTGGCTACCATAGAAGACACCCAGTCTGTCGGCTCTGAGACGGGAGTAATGATGCCTAACTTCTCCATCCTATCCAACTCTTTCATGGCCAAAGCGATGCGATGTGCTGGGCGAACAGCTGGTTTCACATCTGGGTTCAGTGTCATGCGATAGGTGACTGGCAACCTTCCAAGCTCATCAGAAAACAAGTCGCTGTATTCCGTGATAAGCTGCTGTGACAGGTCATCTGTGGACGTACTCAGTTGGTGGACGTCATTGCTGAATGATACAAGTCCAATTTCTCTGCATGCACATAGTCCAAGTATTGGCTGAACATCTTCATTAACGACAAAGAATGATAGCATATGTGACTGCCCATGCAGGAAACACTGCAGCTTCATTACACCTGAGGTTTGAACCTTGCTGCCTCCAAATGCTATTAGGTTAACGGACTTGGGGTGAGCTTTCATTTGTTTATATGCTCTTATAATGTTAACCGTTTTCTTGGGAAGCACATTACATTTAGCACCTGTGTCCACTTTCATCTCAACAGGAATCCCATTAATCCGCACTGTGACGAAAACTTCCTCTTTGTGTTCCACATGCACAGCAGTCGCATGGATTGCATATTGCAGGTTTATTCTGTTACTACTTAGTCTTACTACTTCAACCTAGCTTATACAACATAATTATGAACCTCACTGACATCTGCATTGTTTAAAAACTGACTCACAATTATCGACTTCCGTATTATTGAGGTTCTTTGTAAAATGTTTTTTTTTCCTATTTTTACTTCACCCTGTGTCTTAATGACTTTTAGCTGTTATTTTTGGGAATTTTCTTGTATTTCTTTTATCTTTTATCTGTGTTCGACATGTTTATATAACGCCTGTTTAATTAACCAACATTTTTAGTGTACAGCGCCTTGTTTGGTTGTAATGCCTTGTGAATGCGCTTTATAAATAAAATTGGATTGGATTGGATTGGATATTCCATCAATGTAGTCAATGTGTCATCTCCGCTGTCGTCAGCTTGGTCAGGTTCCACATGATGGACTGACTTTCTGTGTCCTGTTACATTTTGGGTAGGTTGAATGGCTCTGCACCGTTTCTTAAAATGATTCCACTTTTTGCATGCATGACACTGCTGCCCAAAAGCCGGACATTTACTCTTTTTTGCAGCATGAACACCCCCACAGTTAGTACAGTTAGTGATATGCTGCGTTTCAGACCTGTCTCCTTGATTTTTCATTTTATCTCCTCTGTGCTGTCTTGTAAATTTGGGCTGGAGCACGTCAACATTTGTTGCAGATTTTTGAGGAAAAGCAAGTGTTTTATTATGCTCTTCAGTCATTTCAGTCATTTCATGAATCTGGCAGACAGAAATGGCTTTTGCAAGTGTTAAATCACTGTCACTCAGTAGCACTTTCCTTAAATTGTCATTGTTGATGCCACAAACTAGTCTGTCTCTTATTAGTACATCACTCAGATCACCAAATCTGCAGCTTTTTGCTTTAATCCGTAAATCACTCACATGATTCAACAGTCTCCCCAGTCCTCTGATTCACACACACACACACACACACACACACACACACACACACACACACACACACACACACACACACACACACACACACACACACACACACATTCATCAGCAGCTAAAAACTCACCTGTTCAAGCTGACTTTTCCGTGAACTTTGTCACCACCCTCTCCTTATTCTGTTCTTATTCCGCCTTTCCGGGATCCATTGATTTCCCTCTTTCCTATTCATTTTCTCTCCCTTTCCTTACATTTTTTCTTTTCTCCTTTTAAACATGTTTTTAACCATTTTAGAAATGTTTTTATACTTAATTGTTTTTTGTGAAGCACCTCGTAATTTTTATCTAGAGAGGCGCTATATAAAAGATCGTCATTGTCTTCTCTCTCTCTCTCTCTCTCTCTCTCTCTCTCTCTCTCTCTCTCTTTTGCACAACTGGTTTGCAAAGCGACAGCTGTGTTGCGACTGATCATCTCTGTGATGGAAGTCTTCAGACTTTGGTTGCTACTCATCAGAAACTTCATGGTGGATTGCAGACCAGCAACCTCCTTGAACAGGACTCCCTGCCTTTCGGACATTCCTTCGATGAACTGCAATGTGGCAGACTGCATGTTGAGGACCTGACAGACCAGTGGCGCTAGTATCACTACCCCCTGCATGATCACGAGGAGCATGTCTTCTTGGGGTGGCTCTTCCGCCAATCCCTCATCGTCCCCCTTGGGCGTGGGATGGGATCCTTTAAGGCCTCTCTCAGTCTGCCGATATCGGCCAGTTGTGAATAGAATTTTAAGCTGATATCGGTCAAGAGTTGGGGCAACACGAGTGTCCAGAGCAGTCGTCCCCTGTTTGGTATTGATAATGTCATAGTTTGTGCTTTTGTCCACGGTGATAGGGGTCTGCATCTCTGAGCGAGTGTTCTCCTCTCTTCCGGGGGTCCATTGGGGGTAGCCTCCCGCTGTTTGGGGGAAGCTTTGGTAGCACCTTGGATGCGATTCCGGACCGTGGGGTCGATTTGTTTGGGCTTTCGTGGGTTGGGTTGGGTTTTTGGGGGTGGTGTCGCCGCTGCGCGGCCAGGGTACACCATGGTTCTTCATTATGGTGGTCTGTTCGATGGGTGTTGGAACCTCAAAAGTGCTCAGGTCTTCGAGAGTGGGAGAATCCAGGGTTCCCTCGAGTATTACGTCTGTTGCGTTGGCTAGGATTTTGGGACGAATGAAGGGACCCGGGGAGAGTCTGCAACTGGCAGCTCATTCAGAATCTTCTCAGAACTGCGCTGCTCTGTGCGGCTGCATGTTGGAGTAGCTCTGTTGACTACATGTAAGTTTTGCCTTTTCTTGGGCATTTTTTCTTCTAGTTTCTCAAGAAAAACTGTATTTTTTGGACATTTTACTTTTCTGTTTCTGGTGCAGTGAAGATTGGAGGGTTTTTACTGCTATTTTTTTTAGCATTTTTTCAATTTTTCAGCATTTGTCATGACGCTTAACCATAGCAACAAGCTGTTTACAATCGGGAGCAGCTGTTTAACATTGGAAAGGCTGAAATAATACCTCAACTGAAGCCACATATCCCAAATGAGCTAAAACGCAAGAAGCGTGGGTGCAGAGCGGGTGCAAAACGGAGACAGAGAAAGAAGAAATTCAAACCATCTCTTCCATCGATCATAATGGGCAATGTGAGATCACTGGCCAACAAGATGGAGGAACTCCAAGCCCTTTCAATTCAATTCAATTCAATTCAAAAATACTTTATTAATCCCAGAGGGAAATTGATTTCAAGGACTCAGCCAGAGTTTTGGCAGTTTCGGAACCGCTGGAGGAGATAATGCAAAGAAGGATTCTCCAGAGAATCAAGAAAATTATGTACATCCCTGACAATTCTCTTCAGCAGACAGTCCGACAACAGAAGATTGTCTTCAGTCAGAGGCTTCTTCAGTTTCGCTGCAACACTGACCGCTACTGGAGATCCTTCCTGCCAACAGCCATTGTAATATACAATAACTCTTTGATGACTTGATTATTATTATTATTCTGAGCTACTACAGCAATCAATTTCCCTCTGGGATTACTAAAGTATTTTTGAATTTGAATTCTGCGCGGAGTGAATTACCTACCTGTGGAACCACCTGCTAGAAACCAACCTAAACAAGGAAAGCAAAACCCTAAGGCAGGTGAAACCTATTGATGTTCAACAGAGTTGTGACACTGAAACAAGTGATTCAGATGAGGAAGCTGTAGCACCACAATACTGGCTTCGAATTCCGAGGCAAGCACTCAGACCTAATACACCCCAACAGAGTGTTTTGTGTGCCTCAGGACCACTCTGAACCAAAGCCCCAGTTTGAGAGGACAAGTGCTGTTGGCTCTGCATCTGGAAGAGAAAGTGTTGTGGGAGAACTCCAAGAAGAGCAGGATTATGGATCAGAGTCACAAGGAGACCAGAATCCCCAAGAGATGTCTCAAAACATTGAAGACATTTGTCTAGAGAGAAAAGACCTGGTCAGATGCTGACTTATCACACCCTTGGACGTCCAAACTACCAGCCATGCTTTGTAGTCAATGCACTAGATATCCAGCCTTTAGTTTACTCGCACCACCAACCACAGGCTCACCCTTTCAGCCTCCATCCATATTTCCACCCAGTCATTATGTGTATCCACAAGGCATCTACCATACATCCAGTTACTGAACAAAGTACATTGTTTTGAAAGGTATATTTAGTGTAACTGTAGGGGGATGGGAAATAGTTTAGAGAATTTTACGTGTCAGGAGCCACTTTTGTTGGGGGGGTAGTGTGTAGTGCACACAAAGTAATGGTGTGGTCATTATTTGTTTGTTAATGTAAAAATTAGAAATATATCAATAGTTGATTACATCACACTTTTTTAAATTTCTATTTTATTTGAATGGACTGCAGAGAAACTGGTGAAATATTCATGCAGCGGAACCTTTGTCAAATGGGCTGGTGCATCGCCGGGCTGAAATGAAAGAGAAGCTTCCACCCCTCGTGTCAGATGTAGTGATGGGATTTATGGCTCTTTCATGGGAGCCGTTCATTAGTCGGTCGTTTACCTCAAAGATCCGTTCAAAAGACTGACTCCTTTGAACGAAGTGTTTGCAGTACGGCAAAAATTCTCCTGAAAAAACATCTCACATGGCATCTTTAATGCATTTAGCTATTTGCAGTTTGTCTGCAGTGCGTTAAAATATGTAGTTATACAATGATTTCACCTTGCCGTGTGTGTGTGTGTGTGTGCGTGCGTGCGTGCGTGTGTGTGTGTGTGTGCGTGCGTGCGTGCGTGCGTGCGTGCGTGTGTGTGTGTGTGTGTGCGTACGTGCGTGCGTGCGTGCGTGCGTGCGTGCGTGCGTGCGTGCGTGTGTGTGTGTGTGTGTGTGTGTGTGTGTGTGTGTGTGTGTGTGTGTGTGTGTGTGTGTGTGTGTGTGTGTGTGTGTGTGTGTGTGTGTGTGTGTGTGTGTGTGTGTGTGTGTGTGTGTTAAATAAACTCTCCGAAAGGATCACTGCTTATCTGCCAGCAAATAACGTTTGGAGTCACCCGAATTCATTATTAACAGGATTTCTTTTTCCAATCACTGGTTTATGTAATTTCATCTGATTATTTTTGCTATGTCAGTTTCAGCCCTCAGTGGATCTTTTATACTTAAATAAATCACAGTTATTCTAACAAATGTTCAGATTTTCAGTCTGTGTCTTGCATCCTGCAGGCCCTGCAGTCCCTCTCCCTGGCCGACTCCAGGCTTCGTCAGCGGGGCACCGTGCTGGTCAACGCTCTCGGCTCCAATGCCTGCCTGCGGAAGGTGGACCTGAGCGGCAACCTTCTGGAGGACTCGGGGGCTAAAATGCTCAGCAAAGCCCTGCAGATAAACACAACCCTCAGGTCTGTTCTTGTTGTGTAATGCTGTAGTTGCTGCATGGAGTTAAGAGCACCTAAAATCATGAGGGAAGGTCGTGAAAAGATGTTTCAGACAACAGAATGGCTAGAGAGAGAATGAAGATGTCATGTACCAACTGTGGAGAGGTGCTGAGAGGCTGAATAGCTCTTCAAAGATACAGACGTTCAGAGTTAGCCATGCGGGAGATGAAAAGGTAAGACTCGATACTGAGCAGTCTGAGGGTGGGCGAGGTGAATCAGGGGGAGAAAACAAAGGTGCTTCAGGTCTGTGGTGTGTTATGAAATGTATGAGTGAGGGAAGGAAGCAATGCTGACCAGAAACGTGTTTGGAAGGTTAGAGGTGTAGAAAGTTGTGACGGAAACTTGAGAAGCAGCAAAGGAGGACAGCATCAGGGACAGGGGGATCGAGATGAGGACCAGAAATTGGATATGAGCCAGAAAGGAATAGAGTTATAAAGGGATGGAACCGGAAGACCTCCTAAGGAGAGGGATTTAAATTTCTAGGACAAAACGAGTTGGGGGGGGGGGGGGGGGGGGGGAGAGAATGAGTGAAAGGGAAAGATGATGAATAAAAGAGAATATGGGCGGGAATTGAATGTGTGTATAAAAAAACCTCACAGTTGGACGGTGTTTGGTGTAGGTGGAGAACGCACATGGAAACCACAGACTGCTGCATGCCAATTATTTTTGTTTACCAAATTTTATATAACCCACCTTTTGTGTACATGCAGGAAAACAAAGATTCAGAGACGTGTTTGCCCTGCATCATGATCACAAAGTGTGGTAGCAGAGTGTGAGGGTGTAACCGCGTTCGTTAGCAGCTTGAAACCCTAACGGATCCTCTCTTTCCTCGTCTCTGGGCCTGTTCTGTCCCGTTTTCTGCATGTTTCATCCCTCTCAGAAGTGTGACGTGGGATCGCAACAACACCACCGCAACTGGCTTCCAAGATGTGGCGAGGGCGCTCGAGCAGTAAGACGACCACAACACACACCCACACACACACACACACACACACACACACACACTCAAAGCAGATGACTAGCACCCCTGTACAAAAGGCAGATAACCGTCTCTCTGAAGTGTGCACTATTTCACAGCATTTCATCAGGCTTCTGCTGTGTGTGCCAGTCAAATATGTGTGGGTGTGAAGTTTGTGCGCTTGTCTGTCTGTGTGTTCAAGGGCGCGTGGGTGTAGTTGCATATTTGGGAATTGGAGACAGCTGATAAAGGAGCTTTGAGCATTCGTTGTTTGTTCTTGTTAACATCAATATTCTTCCTGTTTGTTCATCACAAGTGATTTAATCTTTTCTTTCCTGCTTTTTTGTCTCCTCTCTCCCAACGACTAGCAACTTTACCCTGCAATATATGCCCCTCCCCTTTTGTGACATCACTCAGGCGTATCGCAGTGCACCAGAGAAGACGGAGCAGGCCCTGGCCAAGGTGAGCAGAGTTTCTCAGACTCGTTCATCAGCTAGTGGAAACCTTCTAATACTTTCTTTATTTGGTTTATTTAAAGTGATTGATTAAGCTTACACTTGGAACATTTTATAGCAAACAAAGGATGAAGGGTTATGGGGTGGATTGTTAGGGCCATTTAGTCCAAAGGAGTGTGAGTCTGGTCCAAGTCCTAGGCCCAGCCATGTGGGGGCAGGAGCATCTCATCTCTGCTTTTTCAGATGATTTGTTCCACTCATCTTTATCAAACTACCTTTAGCTCTTCATGGGGTGTTCAAAGCTGAGTGTGAAGGACCTGGTTCACATCTGAGGTCATGGTCCTTGACCTGAAAAGGTTGGATCTCCTACTCTGCATCAGGAGAGAAGTCTTTAGGATTTTAGGTATTGGAATAGAGGAGGAGGAGATCAGCCAGAGGATTGGGCGCACTGAACCCGCCTGTGTGGTGAAAAGATGGTGCAGAAGCTCTAGATTTATTCGTCCTATATTCCATCCCTCACCTGTAAGGTGTGGGGGAGGTCTGCACCAGAAACAGAGCTGGATTAAGAGATTTATGACAAAGCTTAAAGACGCCATGGTTCTCGACTGGAAAAGGGTGGCTTGCCAACTCCGGGTCGGGAGAGAGGTCCTACCTCAAGTGGAGGAGTTTAAGTATCTCGGGGTCTTGTTCATGAGTGAGGGTAGGAGGGATCGGGAGATCGACAGGCGGATTGGTTCAGCGTCTGCAGTGATGCGGACGCTGAGCTGATCTGTCGTGGTGAAGAGGGAGCTGAGCCAGAAAGCCAGGCTCTCGATTTACCGGTCGATCTACGTCCCAATCCTCACCTATGGTCATGAGCTTTGGGTAATGACCGAAAGAACGAGATCGCGGATACAAGCGGCCAAAGTGAGTTTCCTCCGTAGGGTGGCCGGACTCAGCCTTAGAGATAGGGTGAGGAGCTCGGACATTCGGGAGGGACTCGGAGTAGAACCGCTGCTCCTCCGGATCGAAAGGAGTCAGTTGAGGTGGTTTGGGCATCTGGTCAGGATGCCTCCTGGACGCCTCCATGGGGAGGTGTTTCGGGCATGTCCTGCCGGCAGGAGGCCCCTGGGTCGACCCAGAACACGGAGAGGTTACATCTCCAATCTGGTCCGGGAACGCCTTGGGGTCCTGCCGGAGGAGCTGGTGGAGGTGGCCGGGGAGAGGACGGTCTGGAGCTCCCTAGTTGGGATGCTGCCCCCGCGACCCGGACCCGGATAAGCGGAGGAAGACGATGACGACGACGATGAGTTTAAAGATGTGCAAGAGGGTCCCTTGGTTCACCTCTCCACTCTGCAACACAACTCTAAAACCCAAACATCAGATGATGAAAGGTTTGTGGAGATGGGTTTAAACAAGATCTATAATAACTATCCCAGGTGGTTTCTGTGGCTGACGCCTCCTAATCCTGTCTAATCTGGTCCACCACACATATCACTTGGCAGAGAAGAATAGAAGTCCAGAGTCCAGTGACTTGGTGGTCGGTCAGGCTAGCATCAGGTAAACACCAGACAGGAATGCTGGAGCTTTGGCTCACAGGCAGATGTGATTAGGGCTGAAAACATCTGATTAATGAACAATGATCAGGTTCATCTGTTCAATATGAATGGGTTTATTCATGTTGATATAGCTTTGACTGCTCCAGGATCAGTTTAATGAGACATGTTATAACACCACGCTCCTACATCTATCAGTGTAAACTGTCAAAAGTTCAGTTTAACTTCATGCTTACATTTCTCCAAAAAGCTCAAAATAAAACGAAGCACTTTTTTTTTATCTCAGTTTCAGTTGTCAACAAACCTCGTGCTGGTGTTTAATTCTAATCTCCTTCATCGTCTTCGTGGTGGTCGTCTGTGTGGTTCGGTGTCAGGCGGCTCCTGATTCAATACCACAATAGACGACCTTTTAAGTCATAGCTATAGATTCACAACCTGAACTGAAAAAAAGGAAGATGGCTTTTAATTCAAAGCGTCAGCCTTTGTACACTCAAAGAGTGCCGCCCATCAGCAATTAAAGTAAAAATTAAATAAATAATAGGACAAAGAGGGAAATACTAAAATGCCAGTAAACTGTGAGTCCAAATTGAATAAACCCAATAAAAGTGTAAGGAATAAAGACATGAAAATTCCATTCAATCATATTTAAGTATGAGCTTGAAACTGACTCAAACAATAATTACCAGCACATCCTGTATGTGTTAGATGTTTGTTTTTTTCTATTTTCAGGGCCTAGTTCAGATGTATTACATTTCTATGGGCATTGTCTGAACATCATAAGTCTAGGAGTAATGCCTGATTGACTTTTACTGTGTAAAGGTTGGTTTATGCTTGACGCGTCCGCGAGATCCGTACGGCTCTGCGTGGAAAAGTTGCGTCATTTTGCGTCATTTTAACAACCACGCCCCTCCACTGCACCTCCGCATGGCCCAGAATTTCTGCAACGCGCACCTCGGAAAACTTCTAACCACGCGGACAGACGGACGCGGAAAAACATGGCGGACCGGCAAGAACTAGTATGGCAGAGGTTCGTAAATACAGACATTTGTATGATTCAGCTCTCAGAGATCACCGTGATCAACATGTTGTTAATAATTCTTGGAAAGAAATTGCTCACATTGTCGGAAAAGATGAGAACGCTGTTAAAAATGCTGAAATGCCATGTTGTAAACAGTAATTTCTACTTCTACTATGGTGTAGTGCTGGATGCTTGCCGTAGAGCTCCATGCTGCCCCCTACAGTTTGGGAGAATATTGGCTCACCACAGAGACGAGCCGCATGAACCATAAACGCTGCAAGTTGTGAAGCGCGTTCCATCCGTGAGCCGCATCACCGCGCGGAAAGTGAATGCGTCAAGCATAAACCAAGCCTAAGAGATGGTGATGATGATGATGATGATGATGATGATGTAGCTGTTGCCGAGTCCAGAAAACAAATCAAAGTCTTCCCCTTTACTTCTGGGGATCTATTGTCTTTTCCTTCCCCTTCATTACCATGTAAATCCAGTCTTCTGTCTCTTGCACACTGCACTCTGTAAACACTTGTCACATCTGTGTGTGTTTATGTGTGTGTGTGCGTGCATGCATGTGTGTGGGTCACAGATCCAGCGTGCACTGCTGAGGAACAATCAGACTCAGCGTTTCTCTCAGAAGCAGGCTCTCAGGCTGCACCAAGGCCTCGTCACCAGCACCGCCGAGCAGGTCCGTGTTCAGGAAGATGTGACTTCTATGATATGATTTTAGACTCATTATGGCGTGTTTTCAAGCCAGCAGTACTCATTCATCTTTGCCTGTAGGTGATGGAGCGTCTGTGTGTGCGGGTGCAGCAGCAGGTTTGTGTTCTGAAAGGCTGCGAGGATGGGGAGGAGGTCCAGACAGCCAGACAAATCCTCAAGGAGGCTCGGAACTCGAGAGCTGTATGTGGGCTTCAAACATAACATCTTTACGTACCTGAGTATTTTTCATCACCTGCCACTGATCATGGTGGTTCTGTCACAAAGCAACAATCAAATGCATTTTAATAAATGGCATTGCTGTTGGTTTGATAAGATATATGGCTGACAAAGCCTTCGCTCGATAGCCTGATCGCTGGGCTTTAATATCAGGGTGTTTTTGCTACTAGACACACGTGTAAGTAGCACCTGCTGGTGAACACAAAACAAATCAAGCTGCTGCAGTTGGACTGTTGTTAGTAAAGCACCACCTGTATAAAAACCATGAAAGAAGCCAGATTAGTGTCTGATCCCTTATTAAACAACCTGTAGCATTGTAACCAGCGCGCTGTTAAACATTTTTAGGACAACATGCAGGGTTTGTATCATCTCATGTGTTGCAACAGTTACCTTGAAAAAGTAATCGGATTACTGGTTAATACTTAAAAAAATCCATGGTTGCTTTATTGATTACTTGATTGTAAATTTAACTAAGTTAGATTACATGTTGCTTTAAGAGTTTGACATTCTGCAGCTGCCATCATCATCCCTCAGACTTGGACCTAAAATACTTGAGACTGGACTTGGACCTCAGATACTTGAGACTGGACTTGGTCCTCAAAGATTTGAGACTGGACTTGGACCTCAGATACTTGAGACTGGACTTGGTCCTCAGACACTTGAGACTGGACTTAGACCTCAGAGACTTGAGACTGGCCTTGGTCCTCAGACACTTGAGACTGGACTTAGACCTCAGAGACTTGAGACTGGACTTGGTCCTCAGACACTTGAGACTGGACTTAGACCTCAGAGACTTGAGACTGGACTTGGTCCTCAGAGACTTGAGACTGGACTTGGTCATCAGATACTTGAGACTGGACTTGGTCCTCAGATACTTGAGACTGGACTTGGTCCTCAGATACTTGAGACTGGACTTGGTCCTCAGATACTTGAGACTGGACTTGGACCTCAGATACTTGACACTGGACTTGGACCTCAGATACTTGAGAGTGGACTTGGACCTCAGATACTTGACACTGGACTTGGACCTCAGATACTTTAGACTGGACTTGGACCTCAGATACTTGAGACTGGACTTGGACCTCTGTCAGGGACTTGCACAAACCACCCAGAAAAGCGTTGCTGATGAGTCTGAAAACTCCATTTTATTTTGGAGAAGCTTCAAAATTAACATGAATCAGAATGACACCAGCACAAGACACACTGTCCAGAAAAACAAACATTTCAGACACACCAGGTTCAACTTAAAAAGTGGCTGATCAGACCACTCTACAAACAAGAGGGGAACAATTAACATACAATTAACACACACATCCTCACACACACAAACTAACCAGTCTAATCAATTCAGGTAACTCAAATAACTAAATCATAATTACAAACTCCCTATCCATAACAGAAAATATCCACATTAAATGAAACACAAACATAAACATGAATCTCCCCTCCCTTGGGAGTTGGTAGATCCCAGAAGTGCTGATTAGGCTTCCTGAGGAGATGAGCTGCAGGTGTGAGCCTCCATGGGCAACTCCAAGTCACTGGTAACTCAAATAAAAGTACAAAATTAACACATGCATTCATAAACAGAAGACTTATTGTGTGCACATCAACCAGTCATCCTGGACAGAAAACAGAAAACAAACATTACCAGAAGACCATGTCCCTTTGGTGACAGACACTGCTGTCACAACCTCAAAGACTTGAGACTGGACTTAGACCTCAGATACTTGAGAGTGGACTCGGACCTCAGATACTTGAGATTGGACTCGGACCTCAGATACTTGAGAGTGGACTCGGACCTCAGATACTTGAGACTGGACTCGGACCTCAGATACTTGAGAGTGGACTCGGACCTCAGATACTTGAGATTGGACTCGGACCTCAGATACTTGAGATTGGACTCGGACCTCAGATACTTGAGAGTGGACTCGGACCTCAGATACTTGAGAGTGGACTCGGACCTCAGACACTTGAGAGTGGACTTGGACCTCAGATACTTGAGAGTGGACTCGGACCTCAGATACTTGAGAGTGGACTCGGACCTCAGATACTTGAGAGTGGACTCGGACCTCAGATACTTGAGAGTGGACTCGGACCTCAGACACTTGAGAGTGGACTTGGACCTCAGATACTTGAGAGTGGACTCGGACCTCAGATACTTGAGAGTGGACTCGGACCTCAGATACTTTAGACTGGACTTGGTCCTCAGATACTTGAGAGTGGACTTGGTCCTCAGATACTTGAGATGTGGTTCTTTTTCCTTATCAAAAACAAGAAAGAGACAGGTTTTGTCCAAACTCAGCGGGGGGCATTTATTTACACAACTCATCCATACATCACCAACACTTCACAGGGGACAGCGTCCAGCTTCGATCTAAACACCTCGGCTGGAGATCCTTCTGCAAAAGCCCACTCTCCTACACCACGCAGCATCAGTTATACTATTCAACCCCCACCTCCCTTTTGATTCTGAGAAATGATGGGGTGCTACTTCCACATCCTAATATGGTCAAAAGTAGTTGAAACTTACATAAGCTGGACAGATCAACATGTTTTTGGAGCATGTACTCAGCAGCTGGGCTGCCTGATAAACGGCTGGCATTGATGAGCAACATGTCAACATGCACGTACACAAAACACTGCTTTTAGCTCCTACAGATCCCCCCCATGGGGGTGTCCACCCCCATTAATAAGCTGGCTACATAACATATAACTTAACACATAAGTGAACGTTAACATAAACCAGTAAATGGGCGTCGAATGGCAAAATGACAAATACACTACAAACTTCAACCAAACTATATAGGCATATATGTAACGACGAAGTAACTGCAAACCAACACTTGGATGAGTACACAAAGTAAGTATCAGCTTCAAAACACAATATGGAATGTGACGTCTTTAACCAGCTCAGTCACATCAAAATGCATGCGCAAACTGTAAGGGGGCGAAAACCTGTCCGCTGTTCTTAACAGGAAAAATTCCCCCTTGACCTCCTGGCCCCAAAACAGGACGGTCACATAAAGCACAGAGTGAGCATGCAAGCCTAGCCTAAGTATATGGCAGACATTAGGTAACAGTGAATTAACAAAAGAACGCACGTAAGAGAAAACAAACTGATGAAACCTTCCAACAGAGAACAAAATCATAAGCATGATCGAGCATTAATTACCCTTAGCAATATTGCAACCAGTAACTGTACGTGAATATGCAATCAAAAATACAAACTCATGTGAAATAAATGATTGACGTGGATACTAATGAACGACTAGATGATGTCGCTGTGACTAAACCTATAAAAGTTAAACACAACAGGAGGTGTAATGAATATACTCAACGTAACAACACAACTGCTCAACTGAAATAGAGAACGGAGTCAGAGTCCCAGCTGCAGAACTGAAAAAGAAATGGAGTGAAGAAAACATAAGAGTCAAGTTCAGTTTTATTGATGACTGCTGCAGGGGTCTTGCCGCTGGAAGAGGACTTTGAGGCCGATTCCTTAGTCGAGTGCATGTAACCACAACAGCAACATCTATGATGAGACGCAAAGATTACTCCGCCGTTGTCCCATCAGCCGTCCCATTCTTCAGGCACATTGGGTGTCGTGCTGAGTCCATTGCGGCCATTTCCATTTGCACATATTGAGACGACGCAGCAAGGTTCATTTGGGCAGCCAGAGTTCGCTCCCACAGTCTCCTCACAACAGGTAGGATGCAACATGCCAATAGAGAAATCAGAATTAGTACTACTATTGCACTAATTCCTGCTTTTACCAAAATAGCTCCCCACTGACCCAATTTGAGGGCTAAGGAGTCTAAGGACCAGCTTTCCCTGCCTGCATTCTCCTTCAGCTCTATCTTTAAATCTTTCAATTTCCTCATGCCTTCAGTAAATGCACCATCAGGGGCCGTATTACTTGGAATGTAGGTGCAACATTCTTGCCCACTGGAGTTCAGAAACCTACAGAGCCCACCTTTCTCGGCCAGCAACCAGTCCAAAGCCTGGTCATGCTGCAAAGTCATTTTGACTGTGGCATGAAGTTGTTCACCCAAGAGGCCAAGGTTATTTACTGTGTAATTTAAGATTCTTTGCTGATTAAAATAAACATAGTTGATCCATTTCACATTCTTATTTATTGTTATCCAAGGAAGAATTGACTCTAAACCTGCTACTACCTCATCTCTTGCTTGAAATTCTATGGGAATTCCTGTTGGCAGTCCTATGGCGTTTAAATGCACTTTATGATCAAACACATCATACCTCTTTGTCCTACGTCTATTGGTAGTCTCCAACTGAAGTAATTCACTCACACCTTCATGCAAGATAGTCACTGGAACTTTCATACGTACTAGCGTACACAACCCAACCCAAAAACTTGGCAAAACATTCATTAGAACATCACCACCACACATCCAGTAGCTGTCGGCCACTGGAATGTCTTGCTCACCTATGAGATCCAGAGTGGGGATCGTCATCGATATGTTATCACAGTCCTGACTAAGAGTTACAGGGTTTTCATACCAAACAGGGGTATCAATGAGAAGTGGCGTCATATTTGCATGCGGGAACCAGGATAATACCCAAGTGACGTTACAGTTGACAGATGTATTACCTACGTCCACTCCTCCATCGTCAGCGAAACCTCCGCTTGCAAAACATTCATAATCAGCACTATAATCAATTTTGTAGTCCGTTGGAGGACCATTTTGGTCTGTTTGGATCGCAAATTCAGCACATTCCTCTAAGATGTTATATTCTGCATATTTTTTAACATATTTGTGCTTATCTCGTGTACCATGGAGCAATCTGCATTGGAGTCCTCACAATGGCATCTTAAGAAGAGGTGGAATCTTTTTATTTATCTCTATTACCTTTCTAGTCTTACATGTGCGTTGTTGTGTAATGGCACACTCACTAGAAGTATACTTTTCCGGAACAACCTCAGGTAACATTCCGGGTGCTTG